CCCTCAGGCAGTAGAATTCTCCTTTCTGTTTTGCGAAGAAAAGGAGCTGAACACCTTTTGCAGAGAACACCTTTGTATATTTTTAATGCTTACTGGGTTATATCCTATCTTCTTTTGTCTCTCATTCTTTTGCATATTTTGGAGTTTGACAGCTGAACTCCGCCATTTAATTTGCATATGCAACCAAAGTCAGACGCGTGATTTTGAAGGTGTTTTTATTTAATGAATTGTGATGAATTGGTTAATATTAAAGTCGTAAAGCAAGTTATAACAAATCAAGTAAAGTGTAAAGTGAAGGGGAATACAAAAATATATTGGTGAAGTGGCTAATTTAAGCAGAATAGGAGTGATAAATGTACGCTAATTTCCGAATTTTACAAAAAAGGGCATATTTCAAACCCAATTTGTAAATAAATTAAAATTAAAATTAAAATTTACAAAAGTGAGTGTTAAAATATTGCGTGGACCCTTGACTACAAGTGTGTGAAATTTTTTTTTGGATCGGGCCACCCATTTGGACGGAATAGCCCGAAATAGTTGTGAGCGGTACTAAACCCCACCCTTTATCACTACTTTTTTAACTAATTACCTTTTTTTTTAAGATGAATATTTTTTATAACTTTACGTTATTTTTTTGATTAAAATTTAAAACTTCATAAACTTAAAATTGAAATATCTCAAGCAGTATTGAAGTTAGCGATTAAGCGCTAATGAGTTTTTTTGTAGGAAATAAAATTTCCTACAAGTTTCTCATTTACATTTTTTCTATAGCTCTTGTCATTTACGAGATAAATGCGAAAAATCCCCATTTTGGACAAGGTGATACCATTAAATGCCGCTGAGCTATAGAAATTAAAAAAAAAAAAAATCAAAGTTCCCGTGTATTTTAAATGGAAAATCTTCACACGCCTTGGCCGAGTACTTAAAATTAATATTAAGGGTTCAAACTTTCAGGGAATTTTTTTTTGGGTATTTCCAACAAAATTTCACGATGGGACAAAAAAAAAATAGTCGCAAAAAAAAAAAGCACCCTAATGTACGTGTAAGTGTACATACCCTGCAAAAAGGTACTAGGTTAAATACTAGTACAGGACCACGCTACCTTGTAACCAACACTAGTAAATCCCTCTGGTCCAACGCTGCATAACATGGGACCACCCAGACAACTACACCTTTTGAATCATGGCACATTCGGCAGCCGAATCATGTTGCCGATGGGTTACCAAGAGGTGGTTCTCAACACATATACCATTTTTTTACGTTTGAAGCAGTGATGGAAAATCGAAATTTAAAATTGTGCGGAGTTTCTCCAGAAAAATGTGCCTAAATGCAGGTCAATGTGCCAATAAATTGAAAGTCGTCGATAGGTACTATTTCCTTTATAAAGTATATTTGCAGTACTTATTGCATATAAGAGAAACAGGAATCTTACGGAAAACCTTTCTTTAAGCAACAACAAAACTACACAACAACAAAACACATAAAAAAAGTTTAAAACTTTCTACAAAAAATGTTCATTCAAATTTAAAACTTTGATGTCAGAAGTTTTAGAAAACAAAGTGCAAGTGCAGCTAAGAATTCGCGTTGATTTTGAATACTTTTTTTATTTCTTTGCATTTCCTTTATACATATTGGATGTACAAAAAAATTTAGTATGAAAGAAAAAGTGCAACACCTTCAACGAAAAAAGTTCTCAAAAATCAATGCGAATTGAATGGACTATAAAACACAAATGTAAAAAAAATACTTTTAATTGCGGATCCGAAAAAATATATATCAGTTGCATTGAGTTACGCAAAAATAGTGCCGAAAATCAATCGCTTGTGCTTGAGGTGCCGTCTGATTCTGAAAGGGCCGAAAATGGCACAATGCACACTCATTTTCCATCACTGGATTGAAGGGGTCCAGGCCAGTGCCGATGGGGCACGAAGAGGTGGTTCTCAACACATATATCAGTTTTTTTACGTTTGAAGTGGTCTAGGTCAGCATAACAAGTTACTAGTATGCAACCTGGTCTTTTTGCACATACATACATATGTACTTTAAACCAACGACCCAGTGTACCACCTGTTCGTAAAATTTTTGCAGGGTACGCATCTCAAGCATGCAGAGCGGTGACAACACACACATACATACATAGTACATTTCCTGCAAAAATTTGAGGACAAGGTGGTCCACTGAGTCGTAGATTTAAAGTATGTGCAAAAGGACCAGGTTGCATACTAGTAACTTGTTATTTATTTACNATATCTCCAGTTATGACTTTAATTATGAAGGAACAAGAGAGATATTTTCTTCTATTGTCAAGTGATTCTAATCTTAAGAGTAGACATCGCGAGGTATAAGAAGGCAAAGGTTGTGTGAAATTTAAAGATCGCAGTGCAAATTTAATAAAAATCTTTTGAATACGCTCGATTCTATTTATATATGATACCTGGGCAGGCCGCCAGATAAAGGCAGCATATTCTAAACGGGACCTTACAAAGGCAATAAACAATTTCTTATGTGTATACGGATCCAAGAAATCAGAGCTGTTTCGACGAACGAATGCTAACATAGAGTAAGAATTTGCCACTATAAAATTTATGTTGACCTAGACCACTTCAAACGTAAAAAACTGATATACATATGTGTTGAGAACCACCTCTTCGTGCCCCATCGGCAACATGACTCGGCTGCGGAATGTGCCATGATCCAAAAGGAGTAGTTGTCTGGGTGGTCCCATGTTATGCAGCGGTAGAATAGAAGTGGTCCCATCCGTGGTGTTTATCCGTACAAATCGCGTGCTGTGGTGTTGATGGAAATTCAACATTTGTAAGCACGTTTGTACCTGAGTGCGCAGAGATGCTTGCCAAAATTTGTTGATATGCAGGCAACATGCAAATTAAATATATATATTTTTTTTGCTTTTATCTTGATTATACAATTCACAGGTGCCTTTTTAGAACGAACGCGGTCATTTTAATATGCGCGTAATTGAATTGAATATTTACCAATATACAGTACTTTCGTTGACGTTTATAGTAAGATCAATTACGTTTCTGATTAAATCTAATATTGTTTTCCTCAGTGGAAGTGAATGTCAGAAGCTGCACGATTAAAAAGAAGTAAACTAAAAAGGCGGTGTATACTATTAAACTTTAAAATAAACGCACAACCGGAGAGAATATCGCACAAGACTAACTTCTGGCTTCCCAGAACCTTTATTTATGTTTTACATAAATTCTTATTCTAAATACATAAATTATCACTTATCCTACATACATATATATGTATATACTTAACTCTAATAAAACAATCCTTATTACTTAGTTGACTGCATGCACCATCGCTAGCTCGACCAAGGCAATGCAATCCACTTGAACAATATCATAATTAATAGACTCAAAATGTATACATACTTATTTATTTGGGGTCATATTACTTACAATAGATGTTCAAGTAAAAAGCGCTTTTACTTTTATTTGTATAATATATGTACATGCATATTTACACAAGTATTACATTATATGATAAGCACATCTATGTAAATGCATAGTTGCATCGCTATTCTTGGTATGTGCAGATGTGGTAGATGCAATCAACCGAATACCCTAAGGACCAATGCATTCGGTTGTTGTTTATATTTTTGTACTACTTCTGGCAACAAATTGTGTTGTTGGTTTAGGTTTCCGATAAGAAACTAAACAGGTGGGCTGTTACCGTTCCGATTCTAGTAATGCACTTTAATTTGTACCTAAATACATATTGTCACCAACAAAGCAAAATGCCCTCTTTGATTCAATTGGTTCATTTTTTTCCTACACTGAGGGGAAAAAATATTAAAATCAAATAGAAACGTAATTGATCTTACTATAAACGTCAACGAGTGTACAGGACATTAGTAAATACGCAATTCAATCACGCGCATATTAAAATGACCGCGTTCGTTTTGAAAAAGCATCCGTGAAGTGAAAAATTAGACAAAAACTAAAAAAAATATTTAATTTGCATGTTTCCTTGGTGCAGGTTTTCTTGGGTGCAGGTCTGTATATAATATCTGTGTTCATATGGAATAGTAGCTTATGTCGAAAGGCTGGCTTTAGTATAATGCGGCATTCGCAGAATACGATTGCGAATGACTCACTGGCGTCGACCCGTTGAAGAACTTTTGGAAAATAAACGTGCAAGAAATAGTTCTAATGCTAGTAAGTCAATATTGTTATTGAGTCTTATCAAAAAATTCCTTTTCGTTTACATTATTCATATACAAAACGAATGAATGCCTAGCAAACAATTAGGTGTGATATACATTTGAGAATGATTTGAAAACAAAGCCTATCTCAAATATCAAACGTTTAAAAATGATTTGATATTGATTTGAAAATTACAGCTTTCTCAATAAAAAGGGGAGTTTCATCTCCATTTGAGAATATGGTTAACTCTCAAATCAATTCCAAAGGTTATTTATCAATTGTACTTCAAATATGGAAATAAAATTTATTATTGGAAGTTTATATTTCATATTTATTTTTTCTTCGCGATGTACATACATATGTATGTACATAACAAAAAAAAAACAATTAAGATAAAGTAATTTATAATAAATTCGTCTTGAAGGGCTGCAGCTTCTTCAATCCGCGCGCAAACACCAAATCCACTATTTGTGGGCTTTCTCTTTGAACATTTTTTTATATTCAATGTTTTTTTTCAATTGATCTTAATTTTATTCTTACAATTTTTGATTTAACTGCGCATTATTATATCGTGTGACACTTGCCATCTTTCTTCAAATCAACATCAAATGAATTTCAAATGTAAAATTTAAAACTCGTTTTCAATTTGAGAATCATTTGAGAAAAACACTTGATATCAAACTGAGAAATACATTTTTCTCAAACGTGTTTGCTATGTGACTTTGGCTTCAAATATTTTTCAATTTCAGTGAACACCTGTTCTGAACACATTACAATATTCAAACAAAGTGAAAATAAATTAAATTGAAATAAATTAAAATTTTTTGTATGAGTATCCAAAAATGTTTTTTCTATGTACATATGTACATATAAGTACATATATGCACAAACATACTTATGTATGTATATATGTATTTCTGCGCTCCTATTATAATCCCACTGGGAAAATAGGTAAACACCTTACGAGGTAAGCCAGTTGAAAAATAACGTGCAGCCGAAGTTATTTCTAGGCGCCGAACTACTCCGAGCGACTGCTCTGCATTACACGTAGCTTACTTTGTAAAGCGGCTCAGAAGCATGTCTGATACCAAATGTATATTCTTAATTCCTACTTACATAAGGCGCCCACGTCTTTGTTAAAGTAAGGCAGTAGCGGCCGCCTTATGTAAGTAGGAATTTAGAATGTACAATTGGGAACAGACATACTTCCGAGCCGCTTTTCAAAGTAAGTTAGGTGTAATGCAGAGCAGTCGCTCGGAGTAGTTCGGCACTTGGAAATAACTTCGGCTGCACGTTATTTTTCAACTGACAAGGTAATGTGGCGTCGGAGGTGTTCATTTTGTGCTTTACTAGTAGATGACATTGGCCATGATGACAATTTTGGTACTAAAAACTGAAAGAAATCATGGCTTACCTCGTAAGGCGCTTACCTATTTCCCATTGGGATACTGACAAACTTGTTTGTAGAAAAAAACTTTTACGGAAATGAGTTTGAATGATTTGAATGTTTTTCATTCATTCATTCACATTCTTCCATTTGAAGCAAGGCGAATTCATATAAGGTGGTTCTGCTAGAACAGCTGCTTTAATTCGCCTCGGTACACATATGTCAAAACTCCTTATGAGTGAGTGAGAAAGGAAGAGTGTCGGCATTTTTTTTTTTTTAATTTGAAGGTAGAAAATTTAAAACAAAATGTATATTCATAAATTACAAAATTCCAAACGCTGAGTATTTTGTATGTGAAGTAAAATATTAGAAATGTACTATGCTCTGTTTGGCTAGAAGTTTGATTGAATTCATGCAGCCCTCTAATATACAAGCATATATTCATATACTTCTTAAAATACAGATTGTCCCAAAATTTTTTAAACTTACGCAGTTCAGTTCGATCACCACAGTCCACGTTGAACGGCTGATCGCACTTATTAATATGTCTGTTAAGAGGATCGAATACCAAGCCATCTGGACAAAGTTTCTCTTTCGCCACATCGTCATCACATTGGTAGTACTTGTCACATTGGATATCATCGGGGAACTGGCCCTCGGGTTTGGGGCATTGGAATGCACCTTAAATGACACCATAAATATACATACGTTCATAAGTAGATACATAAGCAAGTTTCCTGAAACTAAAAATTTCATAAAAACCAAAGTATTACACTTAAAGTAAATTAAAAGAAGCCCGCCTTATTTATTCTTATGTCAATATCGAAACATTTTCTGTAGTAAAATTAATAAGAAATTAAACTGCGGCAATTTGCATTTCTACGCTATTCCACATATACACACATATGCATGCAGTGGCGGACTTGCAGTCTTGTCCGCCCTAGGCCCTATAGTACCAGCCGCCCCTTTTCCAACTCCCATTATTTAGGTACTATGTATGTACATATAAAATTTATCTTTTGCCGACTTTTATTGAAATATATTATCGTTTGTTTTTGTCTATCTGCCTTTAAACTTATGTAATTTTTATTTAGTTCATTTATTTTTAATGCCGATATTTCGACTTCAATCTGAGGTCATCTTCAGGACTGTAAGTACACATAAACACATTATATAAAACGTCAGTTATGCAAGACTTAGACTTGACTTGACTTGAAAATTGTATATCTGGCAAATGAGCAGCGTGTGTATGTAGTTACCCAAAAAAACCACTTTACTTAGAAACCTGGAGAACTATAGATTTTTAATTTCTAAAAGCTCAGTAATGCAAGCTTAGACTTGACTTGACTTGAAAACTGTATATCTGGCAATGAGCAGAGCGTGTATGTATACACATGTAGTTACCCAAAAAAAAAAAAAACAACTTCACTTAGAAACTTTGAAAACTATAGATTTTTTTATTTCTAATTAAAAATTCTAAGTACAAAGAGAGCCGTGAGAGCATCATGCTGCCATTTCATTTTTTAATAAAATCCCTACAAAAATTACACACAAATATAATTTTTTGTATAAATGTAATTCATCTGGCAATCGAAAAACAAACCTTCAAATAAAGACAAAAAATAAAATAAAAACAATCACAATTTGATTCAAGTAAATACATGTATTTTAATGGTAATTTTGTATAAATTTTGGCGTAGAAACAAATTAAACGTTTACAATTTTACGTGTACAAATACAAGTGCTTAGAATGAACACAAAGAGAAAAGGTAATAGGTGACACGTTGAGTAATCACGTCCAAGTTTCTAGGTAAGTCAAGTCCAAAAGCCTGATTATGGCAACTTAACTTAACTTAACGAAACGTAGTACTTAGAGAATCAAAATGAAACAGATTTCGACGTGGCATTAAGTTACGTTAAGTTTCGGCTGTTCAAATATAAGCAACACCCATATAACAGAATTTTTAAGAGAGAGCCGTAAGTTACGTTAAGTTGCCATAATCAGACCATAAGGGTCTGATTATGCATACTTCGCATAACTTCGCACAACTTCGTATGTATTCCATTACCCAGAAATTAGCAGAACTTTTAAAAACTTAGCGATCTGTTGAGTTTAGATTTTGCTTCACATCTTCTTAAGCTATACTTTTAGGGCACTGGTACAAATGGTTGTGCGAAGTTATGCGAAGTATGCATAATCAGACCCTAAGTCTTGCATAACGCAGCTTTAAGTTAAATTTCTAACTACAAAGAGAGGCGTGAGAGAATCATGCTACCATTTAATTTTTTAATAAAATCCCTACAAGTATACCACACAAATATGTATAATTTTTTGTATAAATGTGATTCATCTGGCAATCGAAAAACAAACTTTCAAAAAAAGACAAAAAATAAAATATAAGAAAGCTTGTAACAATCACAATTTGGTTCGCGTAAATACATTTATTTTAATTGTAAATTTGTATAAATTTTGGTGTAAAAACAAATTAAACGTTTAAAATTGTACATGTACAAATAAATACAAGTGCTGAGAATCAAACAATAGTTGCGATCCCTAACTCGCAAGAAGTTGCAAAATTTACTGGAATTTACCAGAAAGCGTTCCCGTACTCGGTTCTCTGGCTTCTTTTGCTTTTTGACGGTTTTACAGGTTTTACTCCCGTACTCGGTTCTCTGCTTCTTTTGCTTTTTGCCGGTTTTACAGGTTTTAACCCAGAAAAGTTGGGGAACTCAACTAATAGGTGACACGCTGAGTAATCACGTCTAAAAACTGGATTATGCAAGACTTAGACTTGACTTGACTTACCTAGAAAGTTAGAAACGATTCCTCTCCGTGTCATCTATTGCCTTTTCTCCTTTTTTTTATCCTCAGCATTTGAATTTGTGCACGCAAAATTTTAAAGGCGGATTCACCGTTCGTGTCGGACACTTTTAGTAATTTTACGCGTGCCTTTCCCACCTTGTCTCACTGAGACACGACACAAATTTTCTGAACACTCTTTGTTCGAATCAAATTGATTTTGATTTTCGGTCCGAACGACTTGATGATTCGGGTTGCCGCGTTCTCCCTTTATATGCGTTTGCAGCCAATTGCATGTATTATTTGCCCTCAAAATCATATGTAGGCAACAATATAATCAGCTATTTGCTACAGAACAAAATAAAATGTGCCGAAATGAACGGTGAACCGTACTTCAACACCCTCTCCAACAAAAATGTATTGAGAGCAAATAAAAAGTTGTCCGGACTCCGGACATGAACGGTGAACGCGCCTTAAACGTTTAATTTGATTTGGGTAAAATGGAATAAAAATTCCAATTGAATAAATGTGTCCAAGCGTATCAAATTGTGATTGTTTTTATTTTATTTTCTGTCTTTATTTGGAAGTTTGTTTTTCGATTGCTTGATGAATTTCATTTATACAAAATATCATATTTGTGTGGCATATTTAGAGGAATTTTATTACAGATATGTGAAAAAATGATGTGGCAGCATGATTCTCCCACGGCTCTCCTTACACTTAGAAATTTAACTCAAAATCAAAAATCTATAGTTCTCCAAGTTTCTAAGTGAAGTTGGTTTTTTTTAGGTAACTACAAACACGCGCTGCTGATTTTCCAGATATAATGCTTTCAAGTCAGGTCATGTCTAGGTCTTGCATAAATGACCTTTAAGTTAAACAAAACTTACACCTTCGCCTTGGTTGTACTCGGTCGACTGATTAAGATATAAATGGGCGCGTTTATAAGAAACGCACAGTTGAGTGGTTCCGCTCAGCTCAACAGTTGGCAACTTTCCGCCATTTTTTCCAGCGGAAAATGTTTGCGCTACCTGGGCTTAGCCTAAACAGCTGATCGAAAAGACTTACGCCGCTTATATTAAATTTAACGCCGCTTCGTTAGGTAGCAGTTGCAAACAAATTTATTATATTTTATATTACTGATGCGATGATGTGTGTGGAGGATGGTTCCGTGCGCAGAAGTGGAAAACTTTTGACTGTCATTCACCTGGGAGTGGCCAGAAGCGATTCTTGTGCGTACGGTTTAAATCGCAGCTCACAACGTCCGGATATTTATATCCACGTATCCTCTGGGTAGCAACCAAAACACCCGTTTGGGAGCGAGCTAAAGTGAGAAGGCGTAAAACTCTTCGTGCGCTGGGTTTGGGTCCCGCCACGTTAAAACCCCGCCCAATGAAAAAAAAAACAGCCTCGGATGAGACCCCCTTTTTCTGATGACGACCACGGCAAACGTATAAAGGACTATGATTTAAGGGTATGCACCTGGAATATCCGGACCCTTAATGGGGAAGGTGCCTCTGCCCGGCTGGTTGATGTCCTCGGGAAGACAAAGGCTGACATCACCGCCATCCAAGAAATGCGATGGACGGGGCAAGGTAAAGTAAGCGTGAAGCCTTGCGACGTCTACTACAGTTGCCACGTAAAGGAGCGCAAATTCGGTGTTGGATTCGTGGTAGGAGAGAGACTCCGTCGCCGAGTACTGGCGTTCACCCCGGTGGACGAACGTCTAGCCACAATCCGCATCAAAGCTAGATTCTTCAACATCTCGCTCA